CTTGAAAATCAGATCAATTGAGCAACTACAAGCTGCTCAGTTTCAAACGGTGTCATCATCAAGAAGACAGAATATGAAATGGGAAAACCAAGGACAAACTGCTCACACCCAATTTTTCAAGACTATTCAGAAATAAACCGTAAGAGGGAAGATCAACCTGTGAGGAATGGAGAGACCTCCATCCACCGCTCCCTTCAGGGCACCGAACACCTTGTTGCCAGTGGTGGTTCTGGCCAGGCCTGCATCCAGGTAGCAGGTGAAAGCTCCTGGCTGCCCATCAATGCTCTCCACATTAAACTCATCCCCAGTGATCTCCACCTGGCCTTCGTACACCTTGTCAAGGCCAAATTTGTTCAGCAGCTGGAAGAGAGCACATAGTGGACCAGTTAGAACCAGTCGTTTGTCTTTGTATCAATTATCCTGGCTTAATTCAAGCCTTAAACTGCTAAGGGATCCGTTTACTCCAGGTATTAACAGTTACGGATGATAGGATTGTAAGAGGACAGCACTCAATACAAGTGTAAATGAGCTGGAAACATTTTGTGATCACTCAAGCTACATTTGGAGGTAGTTAAAACCATGTGACCAAATTCTATATGTATATCAACGCTAATGTGTCCCGAACAGTTCTGCACAACAGCAAAGGACTATCTACTTATCTAACACACAATCATGGTGCCAGTGCAAAGGTTTTAAACTTTGCCCGACATAAATAAAAAAAATAATAAATAAAAATTTTTTAAAAGCCAACACGAATACTTGCAAAAGAACTCACTCTTCAGCATGTATGACAACATGCAGTGAGAAAGATCATATGGTGCACACACATCTAAAGTTCAGGTTGTACCGCACAGAGCATCTCGGTTGAAACTCACATCAAGTAACATTCCTTATTGCGTGTGGTGTTGCTGACATAGAACACGCATGCGCTGTGCCTTGTTTACAAGCAGAGGAATGCACATGTATGTGTCGTGGTACTCTCATGAATGGCGGCGGACAGTGACGCGGAGGAGAAGAGTTGTTGAATAAAGTCATTATTTTTGTTTTCTTTGCGCACAAAAGAACTCACAGCTTCGTAAAATTACAGCTTAACCACTGTCACACGGACTATTTTACCGATGTCCTTACTACGTTTCTGGGCCTGGGAACATTTCAGTTGCATTGCTGTCTATGCAGGGTCAGAAAGCTCTCGGATTATCAAAAATATCTTAATATGTGTTCTGAAGATGAACCAAGGTCTTACAGGTTTTGAATGACATGAGGGGGAGTAACGACAATTTACATTTTTGGGTAAACTATTTCTTTATATTCAACATTTTATTGATACATAAGAGTTGGCAGCTCACATTTAGTCTGCAAAAACAATGTGGAAAGCAATGCGTTTCATTTCCAAATTGTTTCTTTATGTCTTGCCTTTTCATGGATAAAATCAGATTAAGATATAGTAGATTTAAAGAAAGTCATTACTAAATCTGGACTGACTTTAATCTTGTGACAAACCTCTTAAAGTATGAATATTTAATTCCATTAAAAAGCTTGAGAATGTGAGCTCTGGTATGACACGCAATACTTTGTGCAGAGGATGCACACAAGACTTTTGCCGTTTCAATTATGATTAATGCAATGCAATTTATCTTACTAATTCAATCTCCCGCATGTGAAATGTCTAAGTAAAGTCATATTTCTTTATTTCTGTCAACATGACAAATGTCTAGAGAACAGAGGTTAATTTCTTTAATGCAACCACTCACACCATGTCATTTCAGGGGTAAAACTGTCAAATAATAAGTGGCGGAAGTGAGACTCACCCTGCGGGCCAGCAGAAGCCCAGTGCAGTAGGCTGCTGCATAATTTGTCAAACCCACACTGATGCCGTACTTGGGCAGCTCATGGGAGTAGGCCGCACACACAATCATGTCACCCTCGATCTTGGCGTAGGCAATCTGAAAATCAAAAACACCTTTGACTGTCAACAAATCAAAATCTTCAGAGATATTCAACTCACAAAGACAAGCGCGAGTCACCTGTTATGAGGCACAATAATGAGAATATGCATGTCGTATTTTAGGACGTCCTGCTGCATGAGCACTCTATAACTGGTCATGTGACATATGAACATCTTTGCACTCACCTGGCAGATGATGTCCCTGTTGGAGAAGCGGACAATCATCCTATACTTGGGTGTGTTGTACTTGTTCTTGTCTTGGATAACCAGGCGCTTTCGGGCAAAGTAATCAGTTTTTCCCTCTAGGAAGCAATAAGACAAAACAATGAAAACCAAGCCTGTCTGCGTGACTTTACAGAACTGTTAGTGTTAAAACTTCTGGTTTCACCTCTCCTTCTCCTGAACTTCACCTGGTACCTCTTGAAGTAGGCCTTGTTCTTCACTACTTTAACGAATCCCTAAAAGACATTTCAAAAAGTCATCCACTTCAGAGATTCAACCTGCAAGCGCAAATCAAATGCAAATTTTTGCTACAATGAAAGCGGACGTGTTATAACTGTAAAGGGTTGAAAGGCCTCCATAAAGTGTTGAAGACGTAGCATGCTAGCATTAAATATAATGTAAAAACTCGTTCAGGTGTTTAATACTATACTGTGCTTTTTTGAGAGCGTGTCATGTTCCGAAAACCATCATTAATGTTGCAAATTCACTACAGTGTGCATTATGTCTCTGAAACTCATGTGTGAAGGGCTTGAAATCAGCCACAAGGCCACGTTTGTACTCAGTCTATCGGAGAAAATCTTAAGTCATCCTTTTATTATCTGCCATCATTCTATAACGTAAAGGTACCAAACAGATCATTAATCTTTAGGGAAAATTAAAATAGAAGTATTGCGGCGCTGTACTGACCATTTTGTAGACTTTATAGTCTCCGAAGCCGGAGCCTGAAGTCAAACTATGGAGTTTTGACTCCGCTGCACGGGAAAAAGAAAGAATGATGTGCGCATGCGTTGTAAATACCGTCAACACTGCGTGGAGGAAAGTACAGCGACACCTGCTCTTTTGGATGTTTAACGGCAAATATGAGCGAAAATATGTTTGGATGTGCATGAGCACTGATTATCAAAAAAGACATCTGTACAGCTCATATCGCTTTGTTTCAAGAAAGACTGGCGTTATGTTTAGCTTAGCTTTATATATGTTTTGATACTTTATAGCCTGTTATCTATGCTGTACTGTAGCCCATTTTTGCTAGGCTAATTTTCAAATGTCTATTATAAAGAAAGAGTCAAATAAACATAAATCATTTAAATTCAGCATAAACCAATTCAATCCATTACTGTTTTTTTCTTCTTATAAAGATCAATCTTTGAGATGGAAGATGTTTAGATTCAATGTCATTTTGTAATATAGCCTATTTATTTGTTTGTTTATTTTATTTGTCAAATGACTAACCTCTCAAAGCACTTCATCATGATTGGAGTCAGTGCTATGGGACGGTAGTCGTTTAGACAGGACAAAGGTGATTTCTTTGGTACCAGTATGATTATTGTGGATTTGAGACATGTGGGGACGACTGCCTGGCTCAGCGAGGTGTTGAAGATATCTGTTAGGACATCTGTCAGCTGTGCAGCACAGTCTCTCAATACACGGCCAGGTATGTCATCAGGACCCGCAGCCTTGCGTGGGTTAATCCTAGATAGGGTCTTCCTAACGTCAGCTGGGGACAGACAGAGCGCCTGGTCGTTGGGAGGTATGGGCAGTTTTTGTGCAGGTGTGTCATTCTGCAATTCAAACCGTGAATAAAAGTGGTTGAGTGCATCTGGGATGGCTTGCCACAGGCTCCATGTGTCTCTGCTGTCTGTGAAGTGATTATTGATTTGTTGTGTATATGACCTTTTCGCATTTTTGATGCCACAAGACAGATTGGCTTTTGCTGTTTTGAGGGCTGCTTTATCTCCTGATCTGAATGCGTCATCTCGGGTCTTTAGCAGCCCACAAACCTCTGCTGTCATCCACGGCTTTTGGTTTGCACGTGTGGTGATGGTCTTGGTGACTGTCACATCATCAATGCACTTTTTGATGTAAGCACTCACAGTTTCAGTGTACTCCTGCAGGTCTGTGTGGTTGTTGTAGGTGGCTGCCTCTTTAAACATGTTCCAGTCTGTGCACTGAAAGCAGTCCTGTAGAGTTGAGGTAGCATCATCTGAATTGTCTTGATGCTTATTTTGTAAAAAATTTAATTATTGTTAATTCGTTTTTTTTTTTGTACTTTTACTTTTTCTTTGTCTGATTCTTTGCCAAGTTATTTGAATATTTGTTTGTATTTTATTTAGAATGCTATGTCTGCATAATTGGAGGTGTGATTATTATTACATTATCCATAGCCTATTATTAATGGCTGTTTGTACTCTAAATGATATGTTCCTAAATTTGTTTGTACTTTACATGTGTTTTAATGTTGATAAATCAAAATATTTCTGTAATGATTCGTTAATAATTAATATTTATTTACGACTGTGTGAACATTGGACAGCAATCAAGCTGTTTTATCAATTTTTTTGTCCTTAATTTTGTAATTATGGAAACATGTGGATAATTTTTACCACAGGATGCTACACAATTTCAGATGTGGTGGAAGTGACATTATGATGGAACTCCATAAACAATGGTCGTTACCCATGAGATCTTGAGCAATTTTTTTTTTTTTATAATCTAAACAGAGTAAAAATAAACAGTGTTCTCCTTAATATGTTTACTTTTTTTTTTTTTTAGAAATGCTGAAAAAATGTGTTTGACAGCTTAACTTTAATAGACACACCTTCAAAAGAGAACACATTAACCTCATTACATGGAGAAAGTAATTCTCTTTTTTTTTGTCTTAAAATAGGTTCCACGTAAAGCAATTCTAATAGGCTGGATTGCTGCGTCAGTGGTGCATTGTTGGAGAGAGAAAGGTGTGTCCTACATCAGAAAGAAATGAGATTAACGTCAGCACAACCAAGCAAAACCAGAAAAGTTAGTTACTGTGCGACTTCTTCTGCAATCAAGTGTACCCAAACGGTCTATGTATTCACTAACTTTAAAGAGAAATCTAAATGTTGCAGATGACCTAGCCATCTAATGGTGAGTTTATTCAATTATCAGGCCTATTCTTTTCACAAGAGCCTTTTTAAGAGAATATGATACAGCAAGGACAATCTCAATGCAGCAAGTAAATAAAAACAGTGGAGGAATATGATTATAGTGATGAAATACACTGGCGGATTATTCAAAAAAACATTACAATTGTCAAATATTGACTTGAATTTGAAATTATTGCTTTAGATACAAATAAATGAGGTAGAACTGCTTTGAAATTACTTAGCCTATCTGTTGTTAGTATCCAAGTATTCTAGTATTCAAGTTTTTGGTGCTATCTTGCTTATGGACATGTATTGTGAAGAGCAAATAGATAGGCTAATTGTTATGTCAATGATTCTGAAATAACTACATTTTGTTTATTGTGCTTTCCCATATTGACTGGTTGCCCTCTGTTTATATATTATAGCTGTAGCTACATTTAGTAACCGAAGATGCACAGCGAGCAAAACAAGGTGGACCCTGTTTTTAAAAAAAAAATAGTTTTATTATATTATACGTTTTAAATGTATTGTTTTATATTCATTTTGTCGGCAAGTAGGCAAGAGCATGTGTGTTTACCATAGACTGTAAAAAGGTGTTTACATGTACTGTTTACAGCAGAGGGTAGTAGAGAGCCGATAAGCTATGCAGGCAGCGCATTTGTGCGCATGCGTAGTTCTGTCCAGCCCGTCTTATGGCATGAGTGACTGCTGGAGGAGCTGTGGCAACTGCCTTGCTGTCTGCGCACACAGGCTTTGTACACTCAGCCTCTCTATGGACTGGCCTGGACTGTTGAAATCCTGCCCCAGTGTGAAAACTGACCGCTGACGTCGGGCTTGAACCCTCAGTGTGCAAGGTTAAGCAACTTTACCTCGCTCCATGGAAAGTTAATATTTAGCTAAAACCCCTGGAATTGAAAAAGACTTCAAGGTAAACAGTTTGAGACCGTTTTAATCTAGTGTGTGTGTGTATGTGTGTCTGTGCCTGTTGCAGGAGAGAGGTGAATGCCGACCAGCGTCCGTTGTATGTTGTGGTTGTTTATATAGTTGTCAATTTAATTATTCAGGCTCAGTTAATCTAGCTGCTTGTCAGCTACTAAAACACCGTTTAAATACTAAAATATGGTTTAAGAGTTGTCAGTTTTGAGACTCTTAAAACAGTCCTAGTATTACAAGTTGAGGTCTAGACTCCGTTAGCCACCACTGCTAACTCCTTTAGCCAGAGTCTCAGACATCTCAGTAAGACACAGCTAACACTAGTCAGCACGTATGCGTAACATATTATTATATTTTTTATAAAAGTTACATTTGCCATTTGTTGTCAATTTATAATTTTTACATTAAGATTTACCCCAAATAATGCAAACATATATTGTACGACTGATGTTATGAGCTGCCCGATGGGTTGTTTGCCATAAAAACCAGTGGATTTATTTTCTTATTTTTCCCGTTATTATTTTGAATAACAGGTCCATGTTTGTGGGCTTATATGACAGTCCCAGGTCATCAGAGGTTAATGCACGTGCGTGTGGTCACAACATTTTCACGGATCCCAGTGCCACATTAAGATGTCTAGTCTAAGGTGGGGTGAGACTCAGCATGCATTGATCAGGGGAACAATGATCAAATGAACAAAATAGACAGACACTCCATAAAACAGTTCTAAAAGTTGTGAAAATTATGTGGAGGATACAGTGTGCGCCATTGTAAAGACTATCTATCTATCTATCCCTCACAGCCTTGTTTTTTATCCACAGTAAATTTAATATGATCTCTAACCTGAGTAAGGTTTATTAATTGTCACCATTAAAGGTACATTTTGTCTAAATATTAAATGTTACAATTTGTTAATGAAATGTAAACATAAGGGCCACGCAGAGTGGTGTGATTAGTTGGTCAGTGGCTTTGGGAAAACGGCCAACTGCTTCCAATATTTTTCTCCCTTCCATTTAGTGTAATATCCTTGGTGTTTACATTTTCAAGGGTGGTGAGATTTCTAGTGCGGGAACTCCACACTAAAGAAAAGAACAAGCACCTTTCTCCACTTTAGATAGTTACCTTTCATCAAGGTCTCTGGCCCCATCAAGGTTGCTAGAATCATGAGTGAAACGTGAACCACTGGATCTCTAACTCTGGCTTTGCAGTGCCAGTGATTACAGCTGATCTCCTCTGATCGCTGCTGATCCACTTTAGTCGGTGCACTTATTCTGTGCACACCAAACTGCATTGCTATGTGCTGTTGTAGCACTTTACTGGAACATGCAGCTTCAGGAAGTGGACTGTAGTATGACCTGAGGTATGTTTGCCAGTCATATGATTAGATTTCCTTGATTTGTCAGGCTGATAGTCTTACATATGACAACTAAATGCTTCTGACAGTCTTCTAGATCAGAACTTATCTGTGTTTTTGTGGGACTGCTAATTCTGGATGTTGACTGACTTGAAGGGGAAGGGTGTGATATTTGATGGCAGATGTGTTCGTGGTGGCTTGTGGGTGTAAACTTTGGCTGTGTCGCTTGAGATTATAACCAAAGTCTTGCGACCAAATTACTTGCCTTTACTTGCCTTCTGGAATGCTTCTTGTCTGGCAGAGCTTTGCTTTGATGTTATTTTTTCCCATAACCCTGAAGCATCGGATATTGGGATCGTTCATTGTTCTTATTCACACGGTCCAAATATGTTGTTGGATCCATCTCACTTCAAACAATTTGTGACGTTGAATAGAGCAAGACCTAAACAGAGCATTCCTGCAGGGGATCTTCTTCTAAATGGCCTCCATGTGGCTTGGTCTAAACTTGTTCTTCTCTCCCTCTCTTTCTCTGTCCTTCCTTTCTCACACATGTGCCACAGACAAACATCTTGCTTCCATTTGACCTGAGCAAATAGAACTTGTGTTTGCTTTGCAGACAGGCATTATCGGAGTTCCCTTTTTAAGAGTATCTTGCCTTTTCAGACTGCATGACTTGGAGAATTTCTGGCCTTAAATGATTGAGTCAGGCAGTAGGGCACAGACGTAAGCAAACCTGCACATTCCCTACCAGTAAAGTGCTGACTGGTGAAAGAGAGCGGAAAGATACAATGCAACAAAATCAATCTGCTTAGTATAAGGTTTGTGTAGGTCTATTGGTAATATTCCTGTCTGTCTCGCACAGCGAAATGCCATTGGTTGGTCTGACATTGACTCTGCTGTTATGTCATGTCTTATTATGTTGGCCTTTTCATCATTCAGTATTCAGATTGTTGCTGCTTTGTTATTGTCATCCCCTTTGACAAACAATGTGGAAAACTAGAACTGCAGCCTTGATTTACGGATACTGTTGAAGATCACTAGATAAGGCGCCACCTGCGAGAAGGGCCTCCTGCTGCAGGCCCGTACAGAGGATGTCATTAAACTCAGTGTGGTTTGAAGACTTAAAGCATTCCATTACAATAAGTCCCAAAAGTGTGGTTGTAAATCAGTGCTTTAGTGTTACATAATATGGGAGAAGACCATCTGGGTCATGTGAGAAGTCATCGACTGTACATGAAGTGTTGCTGTTTATGCCAATTGCATTTTGAAGGAAGATTCTGGGTTAAATGGAACTTAATCATTCTCGCACAGAAAATGACAGCAAAGGAAGTCAAAAGCAGAAATGTGACTTGCATGAATTGTTCGGTGGAAATGTTTATTACTTCATTTCTGAAGTTGTCTAGTTTGTCTTTTTGAGGACATTGCTGGCTAACCAAACAACCAGTAAGTTTCACGCTTTCGGTCACATGCCCAGAGCTGCTTCTGTTACATACTGTTACTGTGACTTGGTGGTACTCACAAACAGACTGAGACAGAGTGAAATGCATTTTCATTCAGCCTCTCTATTGTTTTGTTTTTAAAAAGCATTGGTCTAAACAGACACATTGCATGCAAAAATTGGACCGTGGTTTGAAAAATAGGGTTTGATGATATGGCCAAAAAATTATCACAATAAAATTTTTCATACAAGTCAGTTTCAGTTATTATCATGATATTTGTCAAATCAGTCACACTTTATTTTAAGGTCCAATTCTAACTTAACTATGTCAGTTGCCTCTATAAACTCCTAATTTGATGCTTATTAATAGTAGTAAGGTAGTTGTTAAGTTTAGGTATTGGGTAGGATTAGGGATGTAGTATGTGGTCATGCAGAATATGTGATTTATAAGTACTAATAAACAGCCAATATGTTAATAATAGGCATGCTAATAAGCAACTAGTAATTAGTGAGAATTGGTCATAGATGCTAAAGTGTTACCATCAAATCTTTATTTCTTTATTACTACTCTTTGTTGTCAGAAAATGACAAACACTTGCCAAACATGAGAATAAAAACCTGTTTTGCTACAAGCTGTAATAGCTTGTTTTACATGACATATTTATTAAAAAATGCATAAAATAATGAAGACAACAGGTTAAGTAAAAATATAATGGATATGTAATATAGTGCATTTAAGAAAATGCTCCTCTCCGGAGTTGTTGTTTTTTTTTCTATAGCTGACATTAATTATCGTCAAAACCACACAACAAAATTTGAAACGCTGGGACTACCTTTATTTTCAAAGCACAAAGCTTGTTGCAGTTATTAGATGGCAGATTTAGGAATCACTGCACATTATTTTGTCATCAGAAATATTACCCATCCATTTTTCACCCAAAATGCTTCATTAGAACTTGAATAAGTGTGAAATTGAATTAATGTGAATAAGTGTGAATCTGGAATTGGTTACTGTGAAAAACACTAAACCTCTTAGTGGGCTTCCAGTGTATTGTAACTTTAAACCGAGCATATTGATTGAATTTGCCTGTTGCAAAATGTCTAAACCTCTCCCTTGTCTTAAAGCAAAATTATATTCCTTGTAGTGAACAGGTGTTGAAAATGATAAATAGCTGTTTTCCAAAATAACCTCATGCAGTGTTTGTCAGTTGTTGTCTTAAAGCTCTCTTTATATTGATGTGTGTTGTTAGGGCAGCAGGTTTGCTCTCCTGTGGAC